GAGGCCCGTTGAAGTGACCTCAGAAATAGTTGTGACGTCTCACATTCTCTGACATGGTGATCCACTGCTAACTGCGTCACCCAGTCAGAGTTCTGAATGGAAATCTTATGACGTGCCAAAATAAAAAAAATAGCAACAGTGAAAAAATGTATATTTTGTTTATGTGTGCGAGTGTACCTACCTGGGTACTTTGGGTCATTGAATGTCCCACTTCCCCTCAATTAGTAATTCACTGTTTTGGGAGTGCGTGGAGAAGCTCCTATGTTGAAATGTGCTCTTGGCCAGTTATTTGGTGGCAGAGGTCTCACTCTGAATCAGCAATAAGTATACCCTCTCTTTATTCAGTCTGGCCTGTTGATTATCCATCTGGGTTTTGTTTAGGTTGGACTGAGGATCGCACAGGTATTTGGCATGCCTGGACAGAGTTCGATCAGTGGGCTCTGGTAGGTGGGGATATTGTGTTTTGTTCCTGTAGCTTCCAGATCCAGCCAATCAATACATGCACATATTGTTTGGTCAGATATAGAGGGGCTCAGAGGAGCAGTACGGGCAAGACGAAAGACACAGTAGGGGATGACTTTGGAACTGAACGGATTTGCCGATGGCAAGTATGTGTGGTTTGAAGATTGCCCTCTGTCGATGTGAATGACACTGCTGGCTGGTTGCCGGCAGCTGCCCTCCAGCAATCATGGGACAACAAAGAGCAGAGAGTCTGCTGGCTAAAACACAGCAAGCTGGCACAGTGGGGAGTGCGAGTGGTGAATCTCCAAGCTACTCTGGGATGTTAACCCATAACGTGTGGATCTATTCGACAATCTGCAATCAGCAAGCCTACATATAAGCAGTGTGGCATAGAATAAATAGACATGTTTGTATTGCACAAGGCATATAACGAATTCCCCATGCGATTTGATTGTCAATTTGGGGTGACGGTTTGATAGATGAACCGATCCTCTTTGTCTCCTTTGTACAGACTCATTTGTATCTGTCGTGGTTGGTCTTGTTCTGTCTTATGACACTAGCCTAAAGGTAACATTGGCATTGTATTTTGTATAATTAAAAACGTTGATTAATACACACATCATTTTAGGCACTGTATTGAGTGCCTAAGAACAAATCACTGGATTGTTTTTTTCCTAAATTACACAGTGACCATGTTTACAGGAATTCAAACAAGGATTCACCTGTGGATTGCCTCGATTTTAATTAAGACACTGAAAAGTCCCCATCTGGCTCACCTCTTTCTCTGGTGAGGTTTACATATGGATGTGACAATGTGTGCATGATCCTTTGGTCCTTCCAGTTACAACCTGAATGAATATATCAACGCGGTAATTACATAACTTGAAATTAAATTTGCGAGAAGTGTGATATTACAATTATCTATGACTGAAAGTGTCACTTTCCTGATTACATGCACTGGGTAATACAGCAGCACTTTACATTCATTGACTCAAGCATTTGCTCATTAACTGGCTATTGAAATATATTTTAGATTTGTGTTTGCATAATTTACACTGGTCACAAAATTATTGCAAATAAGCCAATGATGTGTTTTATTTTTATCCCAAAGCAGTTGCTGTGAATTAAATAAGGACTGAAAATGAAATTATAATTCATTAAAACTCTATGAACCATCTTAAATACAAAATTAAGTAACCATGTTGGCAGTGGTGTACAAGCACTCAATTAAGAATGTACCACCTTCATTATTCCAAGATTTTAACAGGAAACATTCTGTTGACTTAAAGCTTTCGTGACTGCAGGAATTCTCCTCCTGATGACGATCGCTTGTGTTGTGATCGAAACGTCGTAGTTTTTTGTTTATTTTATTTATATGAATTTGAACCTATCTACGTGACTTTACCGAAAGACCCAAAGAATATATATTTTGTGTTGTAAAAGGGCATAAGCCTACTACTTTATACATTTTTGTGTTTAAGGCATAGTAACGGTGGAATTGGTAAATGCTTTTTCTTTATCCATTGGCTACACTTTGTTTGAGAAATAAGAATAGAGGTGAGATTATCACTTGATTAAGTGTGTTAATTGACAAACTTTATTTGTTTTTTTTATCTCCTCGTGCCCCTTCACAAATGGCATCTTCCACCACATTCTGCCTCCCACAGGCAGGAAACCAACAAGTCGTTCCCAGTATGACGTGGATGATATGCCGATGATATCGCCAGGCTTTGCCGATAACCTGCCATCCAGCAGCACTTGAGGATACAGATTTGAGACTTTTTGTTGCAGTTGCTTGTGTGTTGTGCACTCTGTTGACTCATCCAACCGAAACAATAGAGACATTGATTTCTGAAAAAATCGGGTATCACAGCTTGAATAAAAAAATGCAATAGACCGTGGACATCTGAATTAGTTCTGCCCACTGCCGAACTAATACATAAATAAAATATTTTACAGACATGTTTTATGACCCTTAACTGTGTTGCATATAATGCTGTAACAAGCTGTACAATGACATAATCTACAAATTGGATCTCGTCTCATGTACAACCAGTCTTGACATGGTACCCTACGAGTGAGCGATGATGCTCGTTAGAATCTCGCAAATTTCCCTTCTGGTGATCTATTCAAAGGTGCGCCATTATAATGCCACAATGCCCAGCCCTGCATGCTATAGGTTGCATCGTTAAAATGTGACAATCGCCTTTCAGTGAATGCCAAGGATTTGGATCATACGCGATGAAAGCTATTTTGATCCATTGAAGACGTGATGTAAGAATTAACACCATAAATTTCTGCGTTGCAAAAAGTTACTTTTGAGACGTTTGTTCTTGGCCCATTATTTCCATGTGTTGAACTGTCGCTTAAAGGGAACCTGACATGTTGGTTCTTTCTCAAAGGTGACTGCTACGGAGAGTGAAATGATAACAACATTGGGTTAAAGCTGTCCAATTTATGCAATTTACTCTCAGAAAATAATACCCTACATTTAGCTGTCATCAAGCTCTCGTAACACTACTAAGCTGAATGTTGAGTGTAATTGCTAAAATACTTTAAATGCGCTTTTGACCAGCGATCATAGATACAGTCCTTCATTACTCAATCCTTCAGCAAACTGTTGAGGCAATATCCCTCAATTTACATTTATTGCAGACAAAAAACGTTATCTTAATTTTTGTAATTTATATATCAAAAACTCGACATGCTTATTTGCTGCTGTGTTCATTAAGCATGTCAAATAAGGGAGGCAAAGTAATCGTTTTAATTAGAAAAGCAGCTGGAGCAATGAGGACAATATTGTTTATATTTGCTGAGCTGGCACAAAAAAACTAAAACCGTTGCAATTATAATTATATTGTAGTGCCGAAGCCTACCAACTATTTCAGAATAGCATTCCGGTAGTATAAACATTGGGCATGCAAAGATGTGTCTCTTCATGAATTATAATCGATTATTATGCTCATAATACTCGATTGTATTAATTTAATTTGTATTGTAATTGAATTAACCGCTGGAGGTGCTACATATCTTCGATACAGAATCCTTCAGTAAACTGTTGAATATTTTAAGACAAATAGGCAATATTACCTCATTTCGTATTTATTTTAGATTTTTTACTTCATTTATCAAAGACTTGCAGATTTGCTGGAATATGCATGAAATATAATGTAAAGTAAGGACATCAAAGTAATCTCGCAAACCCTAGAGGAAATACTTGGCAAAAAATATATGGTAAAAATATTGTATTCTTTAAATGAATCCCAACCTTCAAACCTGGTTCCTGTTCGCAGAGAGCTCATACAAACAACGTGTTAATATAACGCTTACAGGTACTGCTTCAGTGAAGTTTTACAACAGGTTAATTAAATATAATATTAATGTTAGAGAGGGAAAACAATCTTACATTTGTTTTGGTTGACTGGGCTTTTCTTATTTTTCTAACTTACCGTTTTGGGATACCTATTTAATACAATTTCAATTGGCCAAAAAGTTAAGATCCTATCTCTCAGTGACAAAACATTATTCTTACTTTTAATCATGCTGCATTTAATTGTTAGCTAATACACGCTGGTGCATAACAATGAGTGAAAAAGTATGCATTCCGTGTTGATTCCATTTCACCCTGATCTCAGAAAAACCACTGTGCCATGCGGACACCAGACAACCACAGTCCATACGCGTTGGGACCCACTGGACTAGGTGACCCCTTGCCTGCTGGCATGGTGCTATGTCAATAGCTGCAGTCAGATTTAGGCCACTTTGATCCCGGGACACGAGACCACACCCCGACCTGCCACACACAGACACGAAGACAACAATCTTCTCGACACAGGCTGTCGGGGACAGTGCTCGAAGCCAGCCCCTATTAAAGACCAGCTTGGCACACGAGGGACTGGTATGGCCGGAACAATACTCGGACACCTTTGTCTCCCCACTTGCTGACGTTTTGACACCGCGCCATACACTCATCTGTGTGGACAGGGGTGGTGGTGGTAGTGGGGTAGGGGTGCTGGTGGTAGTGGGGTAGGGGTGCTGGTGGTAGTGGGGTAGGGGTGATGGTGGTAGTGGGGTAGGGGTGATGGTGGTAGTGGGGTAGGGGTGGTGGTGGTAGTGGGGTAGGGGTGGTGGTAGTAGTGGGGTAGGGGTGGTGGGGGTGTAGGGGTGGTATGGGTGGTGGTGGTAGTAGTGGGGTAGGGGTGGTGGTGGTAGTAGTGGGGTAGGGGTGCTGGTGGTAGTGGGGTAGGGGTGGTGGGGGTGTAGGGGTGGTGGTGGTGGTAGTGGGGTAGGGGTGATGGTGGTGGGGGTGTAGGGGTGGTAGGGGTGATGGTGGTGGGGGTGTAGGGGTGGGGGTGGTAGTGGGGTGGGGGTGGGGGTGTAGGGGCGGTAGGGGTGGTGGTGGTGATGGTGGGGTAGGGTGGTGGTAGTAGTGGGGTAGGGGGGGGTGGTCAGCTCCAAAAGCCCCCCCCCCAAAAACCCTCCTGCCGTGACGTCACCGGCGGCGAGGCCTACACGAGACAGGCTTCCGCGTGAGTCTCGGCCCGCCCGGCGCGCACTGACCGCGTGTTGTTGCGTGTTGTTGTTGTTGTTGTGCGAGTGAACGTCGCGAAGTTGAAGTAAAAGACGTGCGCGTTCAACACAGTGGGAGGGGGTGCGCGTCTAAACACGTGCCGGCGATGTGGATATCGAGTAGCGGTGGTCGCCTTTGACAGCGGCGCGACTACTGCCGGGCCGATATCGCGTGTCTTGGGTGAACACTTCGTTACCAGTCAACTCTACAAGGGTTTAAGATACACGCGAGACCGCGTGTTGTTAACGACATCATCGTTAACACGTTTCTATCACGCTGGCTGCTTGCCTCGGTGAGCATTGAGGCGACACATCTCCTTTGGTGGCCCTGGGCATTCTACGTTCATGTGGCGGGGCTAGGGACGGTCGTGTGATATTGCCGAAGGCTGCACGTTTGGAGATCGAGGCGGCCCCTCATCACCCCCCTGCTAGTAAGGCGGTCGATAAAGCGAGCAGTACCACTTCGTGCAAAGTTAACGGTGGTGCTATGGATAGACCGGCCCCTGGGTACGGGAACGTGGAATTTCCATCGTGATTGCAGTTTGATAAGGGGCGACACTTTGACTCCGTGGAAAAAAACATATCTCTTGACTCAATTTGTTTTTCATCTGGTTATGAATTGGATCAACTTCGTTCGCGTGTGAAGTTATTATGCTGCTGTTTCAGTGATTGCGTCATGATTATTGGCGCGTCGCGTTCACAGATCGAACCCCGACTGCCTCGCTCATCAACAATCTTTAATCACATTAAAACACAGCCCAGGACACAGCCAAAGTTTACATTTAACGCACGAGAATTAATCGTGGTATCTCGAGTTGCATGTTCACTTTATCCATCTGAGGGAGATGTTTTTGACGAACGTGTTTTTGTGATGAACTAATTGTAATTGTACGAGGATCGGTCTAAAATTATTCTGTTCGAGTCGACTTGCGTTACGGTAAATTCATCATTTAACACCGACGCATGATCATTTAGTTTCAACCTCTCACGTTGGCAGTGAGGTTTGCCTTTTTTATTTGCTTCATTTCACGAGGTGTGAAAGCAGTTCAACATACAGTGAACATTATTTAGTTTTTCTCTTGTCATTGTGGTGATCCACGTCACTCATCCTGCTCTCTCGTTCTCACCTGGTTCGACAAATGCAGCAAAACACCCTCATTGACGTCGCCTCAACCCACACGGCGGTGACAGCATCATCATCATCATCGTCCCTCCTCGTGTCCGTACCCTGTAAATTGTCTTTGGTTTACGTTGTTTCGATATTCGCTGTCGCACTTTTCAGGACCGCATCCCCGACGTAAACCGGCTCTACAATTGACGACTTGAAACGGACGCCACCTCAAGTATTTTCGGGGGATGTAAGTACGAATGGCATGAAACGGGAGTAGCAGGAAAACACGCACACGTGTGTGGGGATGCTGACACTCCACGAGGGCAGTTTAGCAACCAACCTGCCGAACCTGCTGCCTCCAGGCTTCTTGTAGAGAGTTTGTGTTTTTCATGGAGTTTATTCTCATTGCACATTCACCACCAAGGTTTTATTCCGGTTGGCTGAATGGTAGGTAAGGCGTGTGCCACCACACCCACAAATTACTGCAACGGCTGCATTTGCCAGTAAATGATGTGCAGTTTAAGAATCAGGAACTCTTGCTCTTCAGAGTTTGTGCTTACAGTCATTTAGTGATCTTTAAACCATAGAGTAGTACCCACCACTGCACCTCCCAAAATGCACCTTTTGTAAGTAACTGTTGACGCATATCCCTCCTTTGGCCTCCAAGTCCTTGCAAGTTGACAGACATGTGCCCATGCATTACAGATAAACCCTGTAGTGCAATGGAAATGAGAAATCTCATTTCGATGCCAATGAGAAAAATACATGTGTCAGTAAAATCGTACTTTATGTATGTATGTTGACCTTTCGCACCGTACGTAGCCAACCGCGCTAATCGGAGGTGCAGGACTTTAATTATCCTATTGGTTCGGTGCAGTTTAGTGAAGGGGCCCAGAGGACTACAGCTGCTTTTTGATAGGTAATGCTACCATGTGGTGTGACATGATGCTCATGTAGTTATAACATTGTGACGATGTATTCAGTAGCATGCAGTATGAGGCAAAGGTAATTTAAATTAGAAAGTTCTTGGCATAGCAAAAGCATGGCAAAAATCAACTTGCAAGTGCTGCACTTTCACACCGTACTGTATGGTTTACATAATTTTGTACACTACAGTGCAGATGTAGGCATGTTTTGTAAATCCAGACATGTGCAAATAACTACACATTTTTAAATGCATAAATACATCAGTATGCAGTAGTTTCACACACTCAAATGTATCTGTATACGGTAGTTTCACAATGTGTCACTTATTTGTTTCTGTTAGTCACGAGATGTGTTTTTTCCCAATGATAAATGTAATACAATTAATCCACAATATTGATTACAGTTAACATTAAATGCCCCGGTGTTCCTGATCTTGTCATATTCCAGAAGCTAAGCAGCATTGAGCCTGGATAATCCTTGGATGAGCGATGATCATACATTAACCACGTTTTATAGATTGCTGCGGGGCTACGTTCGGGGCCTGCAGACAGCAGTGCTTTAAAATCGTTGTACATACATACATGTATGCTCTCTCATTCTTACTGCCCACCTTCAACCCACACAGACCAGAGTGGTAAAGTATGGGTCAAATAAAGCCCACCACCTGCACGGAGTTAGTGAGGCCCTTATTCAACAATGGAATGACATCGATTTCTGAGCCCCCATGTTTGTATACTGTGAAACTGGCAGACTCTCTCACTCTGAGCTCCCTGTGTGCTGCAGCCAGGTTTGTGTTGCGGCCATTTGTCAAAATGTCCCAGCAAAGCGCGGTGATTGGCAGATTGGAGCAGCGGGCTGCTGAGGCCGACCAGATCATTGCCTACCTGAAGCAGCAGGTGGCTCTACTCAAGGACAGAGCTGGTGAGGCTTTTACACACAGTGGTATCACATGGAAACATTGCTGTGTGTTTCATACTGTATGAGAACATGTTTTGCCAGCTGTATTCCTGCCTGGATTCTTATCGGTAGTGACATCTTCCTCGCATATTAGTGCGATGACGTCGGTCTCATCCCACGGGCTCGAGACGGGTTCGTGTGTGCTGACTTCACGCCAAACGCGATAGAGGAGAGAGATCAAGGATGGAGGTGAGGGAGTGAGATGGGAGAGGGAGGAAGAGATGGGGAGCAATGGAAAGGAATAGGGAGAGAGAGTGAAAGGGCATGAAACGGAGATGAAAGAGAGCAAAATGGAAAGAGTACGGTGAGGGATAGCAACAAGCGGTGGGAGGAAGGATTAAGGAGAGGCAAGAGGTTGGAACGGGAAAGGGAGGGGTGGGAATAACGAGAGCGAGGCTGAGGTGAGAGAGAAATGGGGAGAGAGATTGGGGGAGGGAAGTGGGTGAGATCCAGTGGACGGAGGAGAGGAATGTAGATGGATGGACGGAGAGATAGAAGAGGGGACAGGATTACAGAATTGGATAGAAACAGACAGTGAGAGATTGAGATGAATGTGGATGTACATTCCAGAGAAGGCAAGAGAAATGTGGAGAGAGACTGGGGCTTTATATAATATAAAAAGGTTTTCTGGCTGACTGTTTTATTTGTATTATTTTATTACTTCCCTTCTACGTGACTTTACCGAAAGAACCAAGAAGATGAATCCCTGCAGTCACGAAAGCTTTAAACAGACAGTCATGTTCAATAGATGTGTGGGTTGCTACTGTTTAAGTAAAAATGTCATATTTTGGCCTGTGGTTGACATCGAGTTGTGTATTATTGTATTGGTAAGATAAAGGGATGTATATGTGGTGTAATAAGCATGCTGGATTGACAATCGAGTGCTCGCTGGTTTGATGTTGTGGGCGGCAGGTGAAATAATGGTGCACATTTTTTAAATCCTCCCGTTTTTGTTCACCCAGCAGTTTTGATGGATATACCACTTAGATGATTGGCAGGTTGCATGGGTAGGGTGAAGTGTGGATACTGGTGCCTCTTCTGAGATGTCTGGGCAGTGTGAAATAGTAGGCCAAAATATAACGGAGAGCAAAAACTCGATTTGAAGCTTTCGTGACTGCAGGAATTACTCTGGTTCTTTTGGTAAAGTCACGTAGAGAGAAATTAAATAATAATAGAATACGACGTTTTGAATTTAATTTATTTCTATATGACTTTACCGAAAGAATCACAGTTATATCTGAGGAGTGCTCTAAAGCTCCCTCGAGTGGAGGTTCTTCAACCAGCAGTGATGTAAGCAAGCAATTGCAGGGATGCACCTTTACGCTATCATTAATATTTTACGTCTCACCACCAAATGCTGTAATATGCAAAGAGTAGATCATTTATGTAAACAGATTAGTCTTTAGGCATGATACACATTACTCTGGCAGTCTTTGACGGATCTGCAAAAAAACACTTGATGTAATTAGATTTCTGCCAAGTCTTCTTAATCCCATTCATGTCAGAGAGTTATTATTCAAGCAGATTGAGCAAATGTCAAAGATCTGCCAAAGTAGTGCCAAGTAATGTGGGTACAGCATTGGCATCGTGACATCAGAAGTGCCAAAAGCTCATCAAGTTAAGCCATAGGTGTGTGCCTAATAAGGCGATTTAAATTCACAACGTTACAGTCTTGTATGATACTGATACATTTACTTAAGACTGTTTGAATCCTGACTGCCTCAGTCTGACCCTCTAAGGCACTAAAATTAAAGTCTTGACATCAGACCTACCACCAGGTCTGGCAGATTCCCTGGTTGTGTAAATTGCTACTCACCTCGTAATTGAGTCATTCGGTGTGCCTGGATAAAAATGGTCACAGCAAGGACATATACCACTTGCCACGTTCCGCAGAGATGGAAAATCATACAAAAAGGCTCAATCCGTGGTGGATCTGTCCAAATTATGAATTGTGTTTTTGGGCACAAGGCTAACTTGCATTCCTTCAGCCTCTTTCAGCTTCGTGACAAAACGGTGCTTTGCCAGGTTTAAATTGTCCTTTGCCAAGATGTGAATTGCACCCTGATATCTAAGTTGGGCTATCAGATTTTAATATTGCCAATGAATTTAATATGAATCAAAATTTTATTCCGCATGCAATTAAAATTTACGACATGGGGTTGATGTTGGGAAAATAAATAAAAAATCTGGCACAAAGAAGAAAATGTTGTGAATTCCAAACATTTCTGAGGTTCGTACTGAACCAAGATTTCTATTAGGGTCAATGAAGAAAGTTGACTTCCTTGTGGATTTAAAGGCCGTTCATGCTTCTGTTTGTGTTGTCAGCTTACAAAGAAGGATTTTGCCTCTTGGCCACAGGCTGCAGTGCAATTAACCAACCTTGAATTGCATTGGAATATTAGCTAGCCATGCCAAGAATTTCAGAACATTCAGAGTATTTTTTCGAAAGAAAACCTTCATCTTTTCTATTGATGTGCATTAAAATGCAGACAATGTGTCCCAGGAACTTGCTAAAAAAACCACACATGTTTACATTTTATTACTGTGAAAGGAGTCTTAGTGGTTTGAGCTCGAACATCAGAGTTATTGTTTTGCACAGTTATTAGACATTAGCCTTTTGCCCATCCAAGGACGGGTCTATTGCAGTGAATCTGAAACTTGCAAGCAAAAGCAATGCGTGCGCAGTTTGTGAGGGCGAGGTGACACAGACTTATTTCATTTAAAGGTTATAATCCCTTGTTCATCATGACGTCCTTTTTACTTTGTCTCAATTGCGTTACGGAGATCACGTGACGTGAGGGTTCTGGCTTTGTGAGGGTTGTAAGTTGACGCGAGGAGGGGGGAGGAGGCGCCTCGGCCCCCCATGTGGAGTGACGTCACCCGATAATTATTATTAATGGGGTGGGGGGGGGGTGTCCATTTGGAGGACGTCACCTTTTAATGATTATTAATTAGGGGGGCTGTTCGATGTGGAGTGACGTCACGAGCGTTAAGGACAGACATTCTTGGGTGATTATAGTAGGTTTTACTTATCTGATTTAAAATAAAGTCCAAGGGAAATGGGAATTTGTAGGTACAATGAGATGTGTGCATATTTAGCAGTGAGCAAATAAATAATTTATTAAGAATAATTGGGACAAGGTATTTTATTAAAGCATATTCTGTGGCATGCTTCAATTGTAATAGCATTAGAAATAAAGAAATTGGCCCTTTTATATTTAAATGTTTTGTGAAGTATTTACTATATAAATAGGTGAGGTATATTCAAGAGTTTTATAATTTGGTTTGTCTGTCGGGATGCAATATTATGTATAGAGGACAAGCTGCCAATACAAAGAGTGGCGAGAACATTATCCGTTAGCAACACATTGTCAGTAGGAACATTTAGCTGGCTATCCCATCTATTTTTTTCAGACGTAAAAAAATTTAATTTAACATTTCTGATGAATTAATCGCATTGCAGTTTAATGGAACATGTTAAAGCTTTTGCATCCAAGGCTTTTGCAGATTTGTGGCCAAGGTTCTTATACTGCATATATAGATCTAACTAACTGTTGTGAAGAATGATTTTATTTAATAATGTAAAAGTAGTTTCAGTCTAGAGTTAAGAGTAATTTTATTTCAATATTCGGCGGATGTGCTTTGAAAGATGCGTTTACGCGCTCTCTTACCTGCTTGTGTATTGATTTTCTGGGTTTTTCTGGCTTGCATGTCCACCTTATAAGTAACAAAAGTCTAGATGTTTTATGGAGCGAATAGGCTATTGTTCTGTCCAGAAAATGTCTGTCCATGCATCTGAGGACACTTAACATACTTTCATGGAAACTGTAAAAGTCCAAAGGCAATCACCACACAGCTTGCAACACAGCTTATCAATCCCAATGACCACAGTTTTTGGTGCAATTTTGGCAACAAAATATTTCCTACAAGTTTTTATACATAAAATAATATGATTCCTACCAACGTAGTTCACGTGTGTGTGTGTGTGCTCAAAAGTGAACACATTGGGTGGAAGCTAGTGCACGCCTCTTGTACGTGCGTTTGTATTTTTCCAAGTGCATATTTCTTTGTAAGATCGAATCCCGACGGGCCTTTCTAGTTTATATTTAGTTTTACTTATAATCTGTATTCATGCGTGTATTTACAATTTGTTTGGGTTTTCCGCCCCGGGGATGCTGCCATGGGCAAATGGATTTCATACCGGACTAAATGGGTTCACCTAGAGTCCATCGACAGGTTGCATGTGGTGGGGGGTAGAGTGTGTGGCCAGCGTGGAAGAGCTGGCCAAAGACCATCTAGCGGGGTCACGGAGCTCCCCTTAGTGCAGGCCCTTCCACCAGCAGTGGCGTGAGTGATCATTTGCTGGGGTGGACCTTCACTTTTTCCACCTAGGATGGTCATTGCTTTGCTTTGTACACGATGTTCCCCACTCTGTGCAGTGTTGCAGCAGTCGCAAAATGAAGAAGAGAGGCTGCAGCGTGAGAATGAAACACTAAAGCAAGAAATTGAAGTTGTGAAGCAGCAGCTCATTGCGGCTGAAGTTAGGAATGGATGTAAGTGATTTTTTTTCAATGAAATTACCAAAGCAATAATTCATTTACGTTATTATATTTTTTTTACACATGGGAGGAAACCATAGTAACTGGAGGAAGCACATGCATACTAGATTCTGAGCCTGCTACATTGATGTGTTAAAAATAAAAATACAATTTTCAACTGCAACGTTATGCTGAATTGCAACAATTCACTTAATTTGTCGTGAATTATTATACCCCCACTGCCCAGCTTTGGAATATGTGTGTTGTTAAATATTGAGCACTAAGTGTTTCTAATGCAGTGAATGATTTTCTCATGAGGCCGTTACCCATATGACATTTCTTACCTTGTGTCTTTGCTATCATAGGGTCAAACACGATGCTGATCATCTGAGATAAACAAATTGAATATAAATCGCATTTAAATACAGATTAGAATAAATGTGTTATTGTTCTGGCAGTCATACCATTATATTGGCATAGAGAGTTTTTGAGTGAAGTTTTGTTTGTGTCGTGATGGTGGTGACGCGTGCAGTGGTGCAGATTCCACTGCCCACGCAGCAGACGGCTTGTGTCACTCCCCCGTCAAAGTCTGGCACCGAGACTGTCGCGGAGAAGACGTCTCAAAGCCTCTCCAGCCCCTCGGACGTCAACTCGCCCCAGGCGGCTGCCCAGCCACCTCCCACGGGGGACAAGAAAAAGGAAAAGTCGGAGAAGAAAGGTGATGTTCAGACATTTACAGTTCACATATTCTGGCCAGATGTTTTCACTGTTTTAAGTTTTCAATGGTTTGTGGGACAGGACGTTTTACCACATTGACCACTGCAAAACCGGTCTGGCTATGCTGAGCAAGCTGTAAAGATTGATTCCATTCAAACAAGTTGGCTTTTATTGTCCCTCCGTGATGTGTTGGCTCATGCTAATCACCGACATAGAGAAATCATAATTGATGTTTTTGCCTTTATTTCTTGACTACAGTTTTTGGAAAACATTCAAATGGTTTTGAATAACTTTGGCGGAAGTGCATCTCTAGTCTGATACTTCACATAACATGTATTTTGATTTATGCATGCAGTCTTTGTTTCAATGTTTTATTTTTAGTAATGGTATTAATTCTATTTAAATGTATTATACCTAGATCTTGACAGTTTGGGTGAATGCATCACGTTCCATTTCCATGTCCTATAAAGGTTAAGCGTTATTGTAATTGATATGTATTAGTTCTTCACATAATGTGATTGATCGTATGTATGTCGGTAGTAGTAGAACAGCTTCCCAAACCTGATTTGCTAATTTTGTTGGTTGGTCTCTAAATATTTAGTTTTTGTTTTCCCAATGACCTTTGTGAAACATTTCTACACATGATGATGAGATACTAATGGGTCTATAATTCTTGAGTTCAGTTAGATCATCCATTTTAACAAAACAATGACCGAGGCATCTTTCCATCATTAATTTATTTTTAGTTTAACATGTAGGCTTTCGCGACCAATATTATTCACAATAAAAGTTTTTGGGTTAGATCACGTTATTTATAAACGTGTCGTAACCCTCCACCACCGACATGGCCAATTAGTATTTAAGATCGGGAGCAGGTGGAGGGCCTCACTATTCTGGCGAATTGCCCGATGATGCTGGTTGATGTAATTACCAGTGACACGTCGTACTCAAAAATTAAAATGTTGTGGATTCACTCTTCAACACACTGGTGGCCTAAAGTAGTGAACTATTTGTCTTTTGTCAACGTGACACATTTTTTTACTGTTTGGCCGTGTCGGTTGGTGGAGGGTTACGACACATTTATAAATAACGCGATCTAAACCCAAAAACGTTGATTATGAATTAATTTATTTGCAAATATTTGTGTAAATGTTTGATAATTTGGTTGAAAAAAATAAAATAATAGTCCCGATTTTTGTAGGACATTCAAAGTGAACATGTTATGTAGTTTGATATTTCTGAATTGCCAATTATTTATCACCTTTTTTATTTTTACGTCCCAATTTCTTGTTATGACATCTTCAATCAATGTTGTATTGTGCCCTCTATATTTTGTGCTTTGTGGTCAGATTTCCTGATTAAACAGCAATTATGCCAACAATGGAAATTAATTATTATTGAAGTACTGAATGAGGAAGTCTACAAATTTGATAAATATGACAATTCGGCATTTTAACCCATCTTGTGTGGACACAGCGGGAAAACACAGAATAAATATTAGGAAATGTAGAGGCGGATGAGAGCGGGTGTATTTTGAAAACTGAACTTGAAAATGAAAAGCAACAGACTAATGCACCTAAAGAATACCGTTTTCCATCGGTGCGTATTACCTACCGTAACATGGACAGAAAATGGAATAAAAGTAGAAAAAATTGTAATGGAGAGAGAGGTGCATGCTTAGGATTGCACTGAGAGATGATTTAACAATGTACAATTTAACAATCGGTTTTCCCCTTTCTGGCAATAAAACAGGTGTTAATTAGTTAAAACACCAAACTGAAACATTTTGCGAGGAATCACCACAAGTGGTTAATGCAGACATGATTTGATACTGGCAAAGGAGGTCCCATGATGAAATGTACAATTTATAAATAAAAAATCACTTGATTGACACTTTGTTTGAGAATCTTTAATAATTAAATAGTGAAAACATTCTTTATAATAACATAATTAACTGCAAAATACTGAATTAAATTTATCATTCCCTTTGCCATATTGATTGCTTTATTCATTCTAAAATCAAGATCGCTGAATGAATATTGATTGAGACATTTCTTGTAAAACTTAACTTATGTTTCACTGTCTTGTAAAATGCTTTCGTACCAAGTATTACATTTGGCATTTTTGTCTACGTATTTCCATAGAAATTAAGTTTGCATATTTGTTTGAAGGAAACCCAAGAGTAAGCCAATATAAATGTATAGGTATTTATATTGGCTGAATTGATTTGTGAAAATTAAAAGAAACAGAGTACATTTTAAAAATGTTTTTGTTTTGAAATGACTTTCAGGAAAGGATTTAAATATAACAAGGCATTGTATGATAAGCGAAATAACTTCTTGTTCGCATCAATTGAAAACATAAAATGTGGATATTTACCTAAAGCTAAAACTGTTTTAACTTGACTGCTAGTCTTCACATTATCACAGAGTTAAAATGCAGAGGTTGTCATCGGGCTAATGACATGTGACACAGTGTTGTATAACAAAATTACATTGCGTTGCATTTCTGTTCAGAGGCACAACACAACACTATAGGGCACTGATCACAGTTCATTTTATGTTCACATGCATACGAAGCACTGTTTTGTTTATATATGTAAAAAAAGAAATATATTACATTTGGGTTGCAATATAGCTCATGACAAGTGCTGGTCAATTCCTGCATGAATCTTACTAAAGTCCTCGGATTCCATCCTGAATGAGATTCTCATGCAATAGAATGAGATTCTATTGCGAACATAGCTTATCTAAGCTGCTAGCTTCACAATCATGACCAAATATAGTTAACCAGGCTCACTATTAATATATATTGCTGAGTGTATCATTGGCTCATTTCTACTGCGATTCTACCATGACGTTCAGGGAAGAAAGGGCTTGTGGGACTTGGACATTGTCGTGAAGGCCAGCCTTGGCACACTCCTTACCCGTGCCCATGCGCAGCGAGAAATGATTGAGCAGTCACATGAATGGCCACGTGACTGGATGCCCTGGGACTGATTAGTGGTGTTTCTGCTGCTTGCTGCCCTGGCTGTCTCTGCTCATTTTTTCTGTCGCCAGGCTCAAGTCATTTCACCGTGGGCAGTGTTGCCGTCTGTCCTCTCTCCCATGTGTCCCTGCCGTCATGTCCTCTACATCCCCCTTTTACCCTGATGTGGTGGGGTTTTTTCAATCCTTGTAAAAAGTTGTTACGCTTGATTGATTGCATTTAGGTGTTATGTAACTTTAAATAATAGTTGTTGCAATGGAATCATTTATTTAATCTTTTATTTTGAAAATATTCCATCGTTACGGTTGTTCAACTGCACAGGGCATCGATTGCTGTTTGCGGCACATTTTTTGCCAGATATGATTATTTTACAAAAATAAAATTGCAATTGAATATGAATGCCATTTATTTTTGTTGAGCGCGAATAAACTCACTGTGAAGGATAAACAACAGATTATAATATCCACCTTCAGACTAATGTGGTTAAAAATCTCTATTCAGGCAGTCCCTGAGATACGAACGTCCGACTTGTGAACATCATTTACGAAAGAACCGCCATAAGATGTAATTATTTTTCACCATTCAACTTGCGAACGTTCGCTCGTGCTCATGAACCGAACCGCAGGAACTATTTGGTTTGATAGTGATCCTCCGTGAGATGTAATGAGTCCCAGCATCCCGCGTTATGCTCAATGACAGTGAACCGTTTGACTTGGGGCAAGTGAAAATAAACGTTAAGCATGTTACTTTATTCATGTTTTATTTACTATACAGTATTTATTACAGAATTACATGCAAATGTACAAGTTTAACAATATTTAAACATTTTTGTTGAAACACAACACATTTCATAACACTGACCGATTGAATATTGAGTACTGAGATCTGAACAATTCGACTTACGAACGGGTTCTCAGGAACTTAACCCGTTCGTAAGTCGAGGACTGCCCGTAGTTGCAGTTGCCAAAAAACGATACCGCTCCAGTAAAAAACGAGAGAGCTCGTGAGAATTACGTCACGTGCAATGACGGCCTTTGTAAATATTGAATGTCTGCGCTGCAGGTGAAAAGAAGGACAAGGAGAAGAAGGTGGGAGGCGCGGAGGAGGCGGCTCGTCCCGTGGACGTGTCCCGGCTGGACTTGCGCGTGGGACGCATCGTGTCGGCACAGAAGCACCCAGACGCCGACTCGCTGTACGTGGAGCAGGTGGACGTGGCGGAGGCAGCGGCGCGCACCGTCGTCAGCGGCCTCGTCAAGCACATCCCCCTCGAGCAGGTGAGCCGGTGAGCCGGTGTGCCGGTGTGCCGGGCCTTGTTCAGTGGGCGCTGCTCTGTGTGTGTGAAATTTTAATCTTTTTAAATCCTTTATATTAAGTTCGCTTGCTTGCTTGCTTGCGTGCTTGCTTGCTTGCTTACGACCGTGCAAATCTTTCGGTCGTTTTTTAACTCACTTCCCGTGATCCAATCGAGCTTACATTTTGCACACAGACTCGTTGTGTGAGACAATTAATGTTCGTGAAATTTTTAAAAAAAAATTTTACACTGTTTAGGGAAAACAAATTTAATATTGAATTACCAATTGCTTAATACTGGCAGACAATCATCTGACCCATAGGTGGCAGCCATCTCAAGCCAGAGGACGAGAAGACTCTAGCCGCCACGCATATAAAGGATTTATAGTGAAAAACTTTGTTTTTACGGATTATACTTATTGTTATCCGTTTCATGATTTGTCACAAAACTATGGGGAAAGGTTTTAAAGCCATTATAAGCTCTGGTTGAGAACAAAAGTTATTGTTTATGGATTACATTGAAATGGGTATATCTGAAATGTGCTCGTATCAAACGTTGCTCTTTGCTTTCACCCTCACCAGTGTAATGTTAGCATGTGTTGCTTATTAGAACTGTGCTTATATGCAGCTTCTACTGTCATTGGTTCACCAACTAATATCGATTCTTCCACTAAAGTACATGTAATGGAATTGTGTGCGTACAAATGTGTCTTTTAGTTTGTGCATGTTGTATGTTAAGAGTTCACATGGCCCCTGCAGCAACTTAGTGGCTGCTATATTTACCGCATTGCTTAAAAATAATTATTGAATCCAATTGCGACCCTGAAGAGAGACAATTCATCGCATCACCGGTATGTGCTGAATTATTAAACCCGAAATGCATGTGTGTATTATATTTTAATACTGTGTACTTAAAAAATTGAATATACATTTTTTGGTTTCAAGAATTTAGCACACTTGTGCTATTTTCAATTTTCACAGACCTACATAGTTAAGTCCTATTTGACTAATTAATTGTTCCATGGAGGATTCTTTTTTTTATATTCATGTCATAATGTTAATTAAATTTTGTGACCGAGGTGGAACACAATGACTTTCACAAACTGAAATTTAAATGTCACTTTTTAAATTGAATTGTATTTTTTCCCCCTCTTTATATACACACCTTACTACTATTTAAAATAATCTATGCCTCAAGTTTTCTTGCTGGATGCTGGCTGGGCTCCTCACCACCCCAACAACAACTATTGATTAGTGGGGGTGTGCTGTTGCTATGGAAATTAGCTGGGTAACTGGCTCAATTAGATTTTGTGTTTAACAAATAAACATTGAATTGAATGCGGGGCAGAAGAAGTTCGAAAGACAAAAATAGCGACACCAAAGAGGTGGGAATAACAAATACAGAAGACTGACATGGGTAATTAGACGTTGCTCTCACCTTGTGCTCCTATTGATGTCATTCTTTCGCCTGAATATTCCTTTAAATCCTTTAGAATATAAAAACCTCACAATACAGGAATCCCCCAATGTAAATTGCCACATTACGCGTTTTTTGCACACACGTTATTGATTAGTGAGGGAACATATTTCCTCATATTCTAATGTTTTGCATATGCATTCTTTTTTAAAATTGTGCAAACATTTTTTCACGCAATTTGTTAACTAGGAAAGCACGCAGTGAAAACGGACTTTTGCGATGTGATGCCGTACTGTACTCGCCTAGCATGTACCACCAAAAACCTCCACATGGCAGAGGGAAGCTTGACTTGACAGTGTGGAGGAGTTGGACACGGTGGAGCTGCTTTAGTCCCATTATTACTTAAAATGTACGTTAACTTCTAATCGTATGCATTTTTGTACACTTCATGACATTTAGTCACATTTTTTTTTCCAGAAACGTTGGCTAGGAACACAACCCCTGATTTTAACATGTCTATGAGAAATTGGAATTCACTTAAAGTAATTTTGAGTTGGGTAACATTTTCCAGAAATGCATCCCTTGTGCATCGCGGGGGATCCCTGTTCGTAATATCTTGAATTTTATTACATTTAAAAAACACAGCCCTTTTATTGCTCTGAGTACAGGATTGTGAAAAGAGTATGAAAATGTGAGCTGTCTCTTCTTTTCCGTTGCAGAGGAATGGTTCTGTACGCATATATCAAACATTCTGAAATGTATTTTGCTTTTGAGATATGGTTGTTTTGTCGTTGGGAGCAGATGCAGGACAGGATGATTGTGGTGATGTGTAACCTCAAGCCGGCCAAGATGCGGGGTGTGCTGTCGCAGGCCATGGTGATGTGCGCCAGCTCGCCCGACAAGGTAGAGATCCTGGACCCCCCGGCTGGGGCCGTTCCTGGAGACCGCATCACCTTCAAAGGGTACCCAGGTAAGCTCACCTACAGGTAAACCTGGCAGTTGGTCTCAGCCAGTCACTTGGACATCTGTGAAAAAAGAGCTTTAGAGCTCATCGGATTCCTCCAGTAGAAACTAATATTCGACTTCTGACCTAAAGCATCTGCAGCTGATTTTTTTCCTGACACTCACTGCAAGTATTACACTTGATTGGCAAAGGGTTGTAGCACCGTCTGTCCCAGCCAGTCACTCATAGAAGTCCGTGCCTGCGGAGCAGAGGACCCCGTGTCGATCTCAAACTGGCGCAGCCAGGTGTGATGGACAACTGGACGTTTTAAATTGCCACCTGGCCTCACTGAGCCTCGACGTGACATGCAGCTGATCGGTCTGACATGGCCGAACAGCGGTAATCGCCTCTCAGAAATCACAGCATTAATGTTGCCGAGGAAAGTATTCGATGTTATTGCATATGTATCTCAATTTAAGTAAATGTTCCTAATTAAGTAAATGAGTCACTGATATTTACTCTTTTTTTTAAAGCAGCATTTTATTTTAAAAGGAATTGTTCATAACTTTCACTGTTTTTGCGGGTTAATAAAATTGGGGATTTAGTCATTGCATGTAAACTTTTGTGTATTCATAAAAATATTGCATAGTAAGTGTTCAAACATTGGTGACGAACGGGGAAAAGTGGAGAATCCACTGCAAGGAGATATTAGTGAAGAAGGATATGGTCATGACCCAATAGCTAAAGCCAAAGTATGTACGTGTATAACTATACATTATTCTGTACTTATTACATGCAAATTTGAGTGTATGCAAAGTCTAAATTTATGTTCCAGTGGGAGCATGTCAATTTAATTTCATTATCCTAGCATGTAATGTTGTGACTGAGGCTTGAATGCATGGGGTTAAAAAACATCTGACTCTGCAGGCCTCCTCTCATATCCAGCAGTGAATAGTACACATTGGAACTATTCGGCACGCTTTAACATTGCTATTTTGGTTTCTTTAGTCATATGCCCCATGCCTTGCTGACTGTATTTAAGAACCATTGTCTTTGCCTCTGCGTCACAACTAATTGTTTGCATTTTCTTTGCAGGTGAGCCAGACAAGGAGCTGAACCCCAAGAAAAAGATTTGGGAACAAGTGCAGCCAGATCTTCTGACTAATGCTGAGTTCGTGGCTACCTACAAGGGTGTGCCCTTTGAAGTGGCAGGCAAGGGTGTGTGCAAGGCACAAACTATGGCCAACAGTGGAATCAAATAAGGGCTCTTAAATTGTTTGTGCAATGCTCTCTACCTGCTGCTGAATAAGGGTATTTCAATGTTAAATTATAGAGAGCTATACGACTACAAATGATGCTGTGTTGTTAGAACATTTAAGTAATTCTCACTTGATGCTATGTTCTAGTACCGGTTGTACGAGACACTGGCAGACGTTGACGATTTGAGTGCTTGGTGCAGTAAAACTCCACTTTGCCAGGATTGGAGTTAGGAAATTCACTCAAAGACAAATTCATGGCTAAAATTAGTTGTATTAAAGTCCTATCTATGGCTAACCTGTAAAATCGTGGATAATAGCCTTCATTTTAAATTCGATGCAATGTACTGCAGTGTACAGGCACGTCTCGCTGATTGAGCAAGATAGGTTGCACAAAATTTGCTCGATAAGGAAAGACTCGTTAAACGATAATCGTTTCCCATTGACTCACTCCCATGTTTAAAGCTGAGCTACTTTTTTGCAACGTGAGAAATACAAATGTGAAATTTTTAATAAATTAATGAAACATGAAATGTAACACCACACGTGAAGAACCACAGCGCTTGCAGGTTCCTGGCCTTGATGTTGTTTGAAGGGTAGATGTTGGTGGGTGGAGGGAGCAGCAGGGACCACCACGTAGGACCGCAGGTTCAAATATCACTCGCCACTGATGTTCGCCGTGGTTGGGAATCGAACCACGGGTTGCTGGGTTCATAGCCACGATGTGAGGGTACGGGACAGAGCGCGACTTCCTATCCTCAGCGGCTGCAATGAATTCGTGCCGCCACCTACCCCTCACCCACCCACCCATGACGGTGCCACCCCGAGGGCCCCCTCCACGATACAACTCGACGCCCTGGCACATCACAGGAGAGGGGAAACAAAACAGCTGCGGCTCCCCACCACCGTGTGCTCCCTGCCACCACCAGACGGACATTTATCGATCAGCGTCCCATCGCCAAGCAAACATTTGCTCGCTTTGCCAACAAATTCAAATTGCTCGTTGTGGCGAATTCTCGTAGAAAGAACGCTCGTTAAGCCAGACACGCCTGTATATTACTTGTCGAAGCAGCAGCACCTTCACTCACTGGAGGAAACAGTACAGAGAACAACATCCACAACACAAAACGTAATCTTCCATTGTTGTCGATACATACAGCCTTCCTGTTAGGGAAGAATTGTGGATCAGCCAGACCATTTGGAAATTGGGAGTTTCAGATAAGAAGGCTGTGGATAAGAGTTTTACTGCCATGGTTTGGGAAAATAAAATCTGAATTGAAATGTTCCTCAATCATTATCAAGTTGAAGGCCTCCCCAAGTCAGCACTATCATCCTGCGACACTATAAGCCGAAATGTTAATTGATCACTTTACTGTTGGCGTAACTTTATATTTTGTAAAGAGTAAGAAGAACGCAAAGGACAAACGCACTCCTACTCGACGTATACCTGAAATTGTCTTTTTTTGGTATTCGAAATAAATCGACGTCTACAGCATTGTTTGCTGGTTGAATTGTGTGTGATATCTTGATGTGTGCTGCTTCATATTTTGAGTGATTCTCTTTCATGGTAGTTGGCTGTATTCATGACAACATTTTCAGATTACTGGGTTGGTTGAATATTTATGTGTGCTGAAACATGCAGTGCACTTTTAGCAAATTATTGAAATTGAAGGTCATTCGGTTGTTATTGTTAAAGAAGATTAGATGAAAATGTGTTGTCCGAAAGCAATTTCAGAATCATTGGTAGAAATTTACTGTGAAATTTTCACTATTTAAATTTTCCATCATAAGGGCGTTTTATATTGGATTTTAGATTACCACGATAAGTATCGTAAATGTGTACTGAAGCGTAGATATTTTATAAGATACATGCCCGCAACTATAAAATAGATTCTTTAAAGGGGACCAGTTACAAATGTTATCTTTGTATGTTCCAATTTGGTGGATAATTTTTTAAAATGTAACAAAATGCTGCTAAAATCGTTATGAACTTTGTTGATGGCTTGGTTTTATTGTTGATTCCCTTAATAGCCCATTCCTTACTGTTATTAAAATGTTTTTCAAATATCATGATATATAATTAAGTGAGAGCATCTTGCGAAAACTTGCATATCCAAGATTTAACGATCTACTTCGTGCACTGTACATGACAAGCTACTGCAGTGGACGTTTCATATACTCGTAACACTTGTGCAGTGCAAAATAAAACAATTGCAATCTAGCTCGGCGAAGATGATCTTAATTAGAAGTGCCATTCACAATGTCAGGCTGAATAACGTAGCAAAGCAGATGCCAAGTGAGGGTCATTAGAATTGCCGTAAGTATACGTAGCATAGCTTCGTTTTGCCAAGTTGATAAAGGTGCGTTGTCGAATCTTTTGGCAGGAATTTATGCAAATTCTAGATTTGAAGCTTTCGTGTCTGCAAGGATTCATGTTCTTAGTTTTTTTCGGTAAAGTTACGTAGGTAAAACATTAAAATTAAGAAAAATTAAAATCACGACGTTTCGGAGGCAACACAAGTCTCCGTCATCAGGTGGGACCGTCACAGCCAGATGCAGCAAATCTGGCTGTGACGGTCCCACCTGATGACGGAGACTTGTGTTGCCTCCGAAACGTGATTTTTATTTTATTTTACTTTTATTAATTTCAATGTTTTACCTACGTGACTTTACCGAAAAAACTTAAGAATATAAATTTATGCAAAGCTGCGGCCGTCGCGGGTTCCAGGTGCGATCGCGGCGTGTGCGTGAGGTCGCCGTTTTGAGACTTGGAACCGACGTCATTGAAGGAGGGCCCAACGAGCCGCCAGGTGCATCTTGACAACACCTTGCAGACACCCTTTTTTGGATCGACCGCTCGATGGGAATTTTGGTCCTAAAAAGAGAAAAAGTTGACGTCAAATGGACATCCCAAAGACGATATGAACACCGCGGGTCACCTGCGCCACAGCTTTGCTGTAGCCCGAGCACCGAGTGCTTCCCCTGGCTGACTGCGGCCCATGGGCTGGAGAGGTTTCCCAGATTTCTTGGCTCTGCTGCCGGTAGATGGGCGCACATGGTCACAATGGCCACGTGGTGTAGGGCAGCAGCGGTCCATCATTGGCTCGCGTATGCAACGCACATGGTGGCAACAGGACCCTGCAGCGATTCAAATACCACTCGCGAGTACCCTCCCGTTGCGAGCTCTCTTTCAGATGTTTAGATTTGTTTTATCACGAGGTGCTGTTTGAGGGAGGTGTGCCTGGCTGTCAAGCCAGTAAAGAGCTCTGCTCACTCCACGACCACTCGTTGAAGGTGTGGAGGGTCGTGCAGGCACGGCTTTGGAATCTCCAGGATCCTAACGTGTCGAGAAGTGGAGGCTGGATAATGAACAATCAAGGAAGCCTTATTCAGTCTTTGCAAACCCATAAAAGCTAAAGCTGCTGGGCTGGCCCATCAACGAGCAATGAGAGGATCTCTATGAGAACAGCATACTGGTGAAGCGGGCGAATGCTTACAACGTCCTGGAGCCTGGGTGACCTCAGTCTTGCTGATGACAGCTGTCCTCGTCTTGTCGGTGGGTTAGCCATGTTGGCAAAAGGCGTTCTCACGTAGGCCACTCATGGGAGATTCGCTGGCTTCGCTTCTGACATTCCGACCAAATTGACTGGAACAGGGGAGGAGCCAATCCTGTTGATGGGAAGCCAAGGCGATATCAAGTCTGTCACTACTGGACTCGAGCCAAACGCGTGTAATTAGTGTCAAGTGAGAGCACTGTTGTGTACTTGGATGTGCCCGAGTCAGAGCCAGTTATAGTGTGTGCTCTGTTCGGGTAAAAATCGATACACAGTCTGCACACCGGTGTTTGTGTTGTAGCTGTTGTTGAACTTGTATTAAAAATGTACAACTGCAAAATAGGCTCTGGGAGTTTGTGCGAGAGAGCTGTGAGTTCACCACAATTGATTCATCACTATCCGTGTGTTGAATTTCTTTCACACAGTACGTAGCCAACCGTGCCCGATGCCCAGGATGGACCAACCCTCCTGACACCACCCGTTGTCACATTACTTATCATATATATGTTAAGATGTGAGCATTTCGAACTCTCACGCTTGTGTGATTCTGTTTGTTGACAGTGGAAGGCTGGTGACATACTGAAACAGCCGTCTGGTTTATAAACAAAAATAATTCACACTGAAGTACGTATGGAAGCTATCGGTCACCTCAAGTGACCTCTGACACTAAAACCTTGCCTACGGCGTGTGTGCCGTTGCGTGTGTTCACATTGTTCCATCAGAATATCTTTGTTATTGTTCAGGTGACAAGCGTGGTACCACGCGTCCATCCGCAGTCCTGATGAATACCTCGATTGCAATAACCTAGCTTGATACGAAAAGTCTGGGTGCTTTGCGTGGTTTACTCGTCCATGTATTGTGATGTATCCTTGCTGCTGAAACATAAGAATTGAGGAGGTTTTGTGTGTTGACAAAAATGTGTTTATGGACCCATAGAACTGTGGAAGTCAACGAACAAGACCTATTACAATATGATTTGTAGAAACGAAGAAGGCTGCAAAGTGGGACTGAAGGTAAATACTGCACAAGAAAAAAACATGTCACAAACAACAAGTTCACTGAACAAAAATATATTTGTTGGGAGGAACAGTGCAAAACACAACGAAATATATAAATCTAGGGAAATTGTTGAAAGCAAACCAGGATTATACTAACGAAATAAAGAGGCAAACAAGAACAGGATGGAGTGATTTTGGAAAATGAATGTGATAATGAAAATCAGCACAATATGCACCGAGATCAGGGGTCCCCAACCCCCGGGCCGTGGACCGGTACCGGCCCGTGTCCTGTTAGGACCCGGGCCGCACAGCAGCACGAGGTGAGAGCGGTGAGTCCGCGCGTGGAACCCGCCCCCATTGTTTTATCATTCACCACTTCCGTCCGCGCCTCTTTCCCGCACTGCGCAGTGTCTCAGTCACAGTGTTGGTAAGTCCACAAGCTCTAACCCCGAGTAGCCACAATGAGTAAAATAAAAACGTCGCTGGAGAGCTTCTTTGAAAAGGGGGAAAGAACCAATGATGACCCCCCCCCCTCCCCGGTCCGTGAAAAAATTGTCTTCCACGAAACCGGTCCCTGGTGCCAAAAAGGTTGGGGACCGCTGACCGAGAGAATTCAGTTTTCATTCAGTGACTATTATCTGCCATGACATGGATGCATGCTAGAAATGTCACCCAGAGAAATACATGGATCAGAGGAACAATCACAAGGGAAAGACACCATATTGACAACTCATGAAAGTAGGTGGGCTTATCGCTACAAGGCATGGAGGCGAATTTACATGACTAATGATGACTTGGCAGCCGAAGACGGGGAGACCCACGGGGGCCGACCACTGTGGAGATGGGGAAAGAGATCGGCCCACGTGCATGAACGAGTTGGACTGTGGCATTGCAGGATCATGAGGTATGGCGGTGATGTGTGTTAGTTTCTGCCCTTGAATCATCCAGAAAGGTCGTATACAGACATAAAAATCAGACATCGCAATCCCATTGAGGTTTTAAGGTACCATAGACTCTGTATTTTGTCTGAAGTACAGAATGATTTCTTTTACCACTGCCAATGTGTCCCTGGGCATTATTTAGAAAACAGAACCTTAATTTCCATCACTGAAGTCTCCTACTGATATTATAATCATAATAGGGTTGTCCCCTTTTATCTGGCAACAAAACAGGTGTTAAGTTATTAAAACACCAAACTGAAACCTTTTACAAGGAATCATGTCTGCACTCACCACAATACTTGTGGTCAAAATGCAAAAAAAACATACTCTGATAATATATGCATTATCTTTGAAACTGATTGGTCCTACACCAGCGACAGCTTTCTTTAAAAGGGGAATAACCTATTCTCATATTTTGGTACTGGCAAAGGAGGTCCCATGATGATATGATCATCTTCAAGGTATACACAGCCCAAAAAAAACATCACAAGACCTCTCCCAGAGTCTCGGTCAATAAGCAGTGCTCCCTTCTCTCTGAGCTTTTCACATTTCCACTGATGAAAACAGCCAAAGTAAAATCACCAATTTTGTGAAGGGTTATCTTGTGAGTAAAAACTATTATGAGGTCAAGACAATCACACGCACTGCTCTGACGAACTGAAGAGGCAAAAAAAAAACATGGATAATGTTTCAATACTTTGTTTCTGGGCTGTAATCCAAGGATTTGGAGTTGTTGCATCAGTGCACGAGCATTGGCATTAGTGCCCAGGGCCACCCAGAATGCTTACACACAAATAAATCATATTAGATCATATCTCAATGGCTTTAAACAAGAGTTTCATCCCCACAGAATTGCACGCTTTCAGTAATCCTCCAGCCATTATAAACAGAATGCAATCAATTTAATTTAATATCAAAGATTAAATTTAATATCAAAGATTAAAATGTGCACAATTGAGATCTCTGCACAATGAAAACAAAAAAAAACATTATTTCAATATCTGTAGTGTTGTAGTGT